TTTTTTTCACTGCTAAAATCCTAAAATGAAAAGATGGTTTGTGTGATATTTGGCTTTTGTTTAAACTTTAAACAGACTGTTTTATTGGTTTAGTGTATTTTAATTTGGTCAAAGTTGTGGTAGTTAGTGGCTGTGATTACTGTTTTGCCCTTAGACTTTTTCTTTTTCCTTCGAGTAGTAATAGAAATAGTTGTACACTACTACAATACCCCGTCTACTACATTCGGTACTTAAATATATTAATATTTTTACAATAAAAATTAAAATAATTTATTTTTTTTGTAAAATTATATATGATGAATATGCAACAATAATAAATAAGTAACAAAATAAAAATTAATTCAAATGGTGCCTGTATTTTTACACTAAATTTGTCAAAAAAAAATATTTTTTTTAATTATATTTTTAAAATTATATATGTATAAACTGATATTATTTACAACTTCATATATTTTATTTACTTTTTAGACAAAAAAAAGTTTTATTCTATTGTAATTATATTTTATATTTATAGAGTCAGTGTCTCACGTCTATTAATTTTCAAGTATTTTAAATTCATATAATTAATAATTTAGAATTTACGTAGAAATATTTTATTTTCTAACTTTTTGAAATGCAAAATTATTTTATTATATTTAATTATGATATTCTTGTATATTTACTTTTTTAAATAACATAGTAACATTCTATTTTTTATATAATTTATTTAAATTTAGAAATAATTCTTCATAATATTTTTTTAAATATATTTTATGTAATACTTAATTTTTATTTTTTATTCAATATTTATGAAAATAAGCAATAAAATTATTATTTTATGGTGTATCAATGAATTAGATTTTTATTATTTTTATGTAATTATTTATATTGTTATATGATGTATTTTAATTGAGTTGATAATAAAATTAATTTTATTTATATTTATAAATAAAATTAATTTTAGTTTATATATGCAATATGGATGTCAAATCGAAGTTATTTTAGTAAATCGTATATAAAAATAAAACCAATAAAAAAGTTATAAAGTTTTCAAAATAAAAAGGTTACATATTTATAATAACTAATATATGAAGTAAATAAAAAAGGTAAGAGTAGTATATGGTTACTTAAAAAAAAAGGAAAGTTAAAATAGTTTATGGTAATTCTCAAGCTTAATAGTCAAAACCAAACCTGAACATGTGTCAATACGAACATCATTTTATGTCAAATAAACTTACGAAGTATACGAGCCAGTCATTTAGGCTCAGCGCATTCGGGAATTATATATAAAGGCGATAAATTGTGTATATATATACATAATTTATACTTGTACATAACCGGTACATATTTTTATAATCTTTGTGTTGGTAAGATTCACTTAATTGTTTATTTCAATAGATCCCATCCTATAAATAATGATTATATGCATACACTTAAATAAATGTAACACTTTACAAACTAGCTTTCATGATTCGCATTATCAATTTTCTTATGAAGTATCAGATCAGATAGCATAATTTATGAAGTTATGAATTGTTATTTTACAATTACTTTATTGACTTGTGTGATGAAATAATTACACTTAAGATGAGTGCTCATACATAAATTAATATATTTGGTCCCATAAATTTGATAAGTGTATAATCATAAAGGAGTAAGTGGAGACGGTTTATAAATGAATAATGCGCGAATATTTAAAAAAATAATAATATCTAGTATAATATATTTAAGATATTCTGAGAAATATTTATTTAAATTTTATATAAAATAAAATTATGTCTACTTAATGTTTAATGTGAAAAAATATATTAGATCTTGTTTTGATGTATTGTTGAGATACTACAATAAATTCATAAACTAATATTAAAATTATTCATTTATTAAATTATTTTAAATTTTCTTTGATATCCCTCATTTTAAAATCAATTTTCAAAATATTGACTTAAATAAAATATAATCTATTTTTATTTTTATTTTATTCTTTGGTACAAAAAGAGAGGCCGAAGCCTAAGGGATCCTAAAACGCCACTTGACGTGGGTAAGCCACGCCCAGGATATCATGTAATCTATTTTTATTTAGGGTTAATTGCCCTAAAAATCACCACCTTTTATTAAATTGCAAAAAAAACTCAACCTTTTCATTTTAGCAAAAAAAATACAAACCTTGTTTAATTTTTGCAATTGTGTCTCGAACAGAATTTCAGGCCAAAACTTAATGACGTGGCGATCGGAAAAATGACATGTCACACCAACTCAATACTTCCTGCCACGTCATCGGACACCTGTTATTACACCTCACACACCTTCACAACTGTAAAAAAAACCTCCGGGCCCAAGAAAACCCCATCACAGCCCAATTGCATCACAAGTGCAGCATCCGCCGGCGTCACAATTCCACCGGCGGCAAAATGGACCACCGGCAAGCGGCCCATTTGCTTAGTTTGGGCTACAATATCATAAGGCGCTTTAATCTGCTTAGCAAATGTAAAGACCTTGTCTTCGTCCATGTTGTTCAAAATCCTAATCTATGTCTCCAGATCTGCTCAGATCTCCCTGCGTCCGTATCAACGCTGCCCCTTCCCTAACCCTCCTCAGAGCCTCGCCCAGATCCCGATAATCGCAGACGAACGCGGCGCCGAAATTTTGCTTGTTGATGAAATGGTCCTCGCCGGCGACGGCTAGGGTCTCGCTCTCGTCGATGTAATCGGAGCCGATCGACTCCAGGATCTGCGCCTCGACGAAATGGCCAACCCTAGTTTTCGCCATAACGGGAATTGATAACGCTTGCTTGATTTTCTTGATTAGTCTCGAAGAAGGGATAAGGAATCGTTCCTTTTTCTTTTCTCTGTGCTGCGCGTAACAATGGGGAAGAAATGATGAACATATCTATTTTATTGGGTGTGTTGACGTGGAAGGTGACATGGAAGGTATGTGAGATGTAATAACAGGTGTCCGATGACGTGGCATGAAGTATTGAGTTGGTGTGCCATGTCATTTTTCCGATCGCCACGTCATTAAGTTTTCGCCGGAAATTCTGTTCGAGACACAATTGCAAAAATTAAACAAGGTTTGTATTATTTTTTCTAAAATGAAAAGGTTGAGTTTTTTTAGCAATTTAACAAAAGATTGTAATTTTTAAGGCAATTAACTCTTTTATTTATATGTACTCACATAAATGATGACTCATCTATTATTTAGACGAATAAATTTTAATAGTTATTTAACAATTGGGACGATCTAAAAATGTGTGTTAAGAACAATGTTTAAAATATCATACCATCCCGCCAGTAATATAAATCATTGACCATTGATCCGGCATTATTTAAAGCAATATTGAATTGTATTGAAGTTGTATAGTTAATATCGAACAAAATAAGAATTGATAAAATAATATATATAAAAAAAATAAGAGAGAGAGAGAAGTTAATTATTACATTGAAAAATTAATTTAAAATTATTTGTATTCTTTTTTATACTATTTAGAAATTGGATTAGTAAATATAATTATTTATTTTAAATTTTTTTGATATTTGTTATTAGAAAACACCCATATATTACAGATTTTAATCAATAACACTACGTTGGACTTGGCCATGGTACGGTTTTGAACATGCACTAGCTAGACAAATACCTGAGTGACAGTGAGTTAATTGGGCAGTTGGTATTTGTTTGTCTGACGAAGTCCAGTCTGTCAAAAATTGAAATATCAGTAGTAATATTTATATTCTTTGTTGAATAATTGTACACAACTGTACAAGAATATAGTCAAACAAATTAAGATAATAGGGACGTTGACAATTATTTTTTTCTCAAGTACACAACATTTTGATGTGCTTCAATTTTATATATGAGGAAGTTCACATTTATTTATATTTATTTGTAAAATATTGCTTTGATTAATGAGTAACTCAAGTGCTTTAACAATTTGCATTTGAATTTCAGATGAGAGAAGTTGCAAGTTGGCTATATTATGGTCTTATAATATTTGATCCTTCCGTTGAAATCCGTATTATATAAGTTAATTTTTGCAAATTTAATATGAATTTTCATGTTCATATGGTATAACGTACGCCCTTACGAGAAATATGAGATGTCAATTTGTCAAAGAAATATTGCACAATTAAGAAATTTGTGAGATGAGATTAGAGTTGTTTTTTTTTACAGGAGATTAGATAGAGATGTTAAACGGGCTAGTCTTAGCGGTTTCGGGCTAGTCCTAGCGAGCTTCACGCCACACGGTTCGGGCCTAAAAAGCTCGAATTTATACATTTGAATTGAATTATGACATTATGTAGACGATAGTATGACGTATAATCTTATTTAATGAAAAAGAATGGCAATAAAAGTTAGAGGTTTATCAATTAATATATTAATGCAAGATTAAGAAGATATGTCATTAGACGATTTCTTTGGTTGCACATATTATATTATCAATTGCTGTTTGTTTCAATTTGAAGTCTCGAATTCCAATGGTATGACTTTGGTGCAGCATTTCAGAAGTCTAATTCATGAGCTAATTATAATTTCAGAAGTCCCTATCTGTATTGCTGTTTAGTCTGTGGGCTTTGAACTCTGTACCTTTGTTTCTCTCTTTTAATTATAATATTCTTTGTTTCGAAAAATAAATAAAAAATAAAAATTCATGAGCTCAAAACTACATAAACTAGTATTCGACCTATGCATTTTTACAAATATAAATAAATTATTGTGAGTCTGTATGCATATAATGATTAATTATTTTCTTTCACTTTTTTGCAGACCAAATTTACAATTAAAAGAGTTGGAATATTTTTTTTAAATTGCGTTTATTTGATTGGATGTAATGTATATTTTAGTACGTCTTTTATTTGTGAATTATTTATTATTTATTTAGGAATTTCAAATATATTTTTTATTTTCAAAAAAAAAAATTAAATGTAACAACAATAATAATATCTAATCACATTATACGGTCAACACATTATATGGTCAACTGTCATTAATCAAAAGTTTAAAATGATTTTTGTAATTTTGAAGTGATGAGTATTAATTATTTAATGATTAAATGAAAGATTAAATACATCAAAATGTAACGGTTTTTGGAGGAAAAATTATTAAATTGCCACATAGGTAAAATTAAATAAATTTTATTTAATGCTATTAACTAGTAATTATATATATATAGATATGGGAGGATGTTTGAATTTCTCTACTCGGCAAGTTGAACGAGAAAATTGATTAACTTATATTACCATATGATGTTAGTTATTATATAATTTTTGTGGAGAGATGAAACACATGTGTGAGTGTGACGCATTGTTGTATTCGTGTTAGTACAAATTAACTAGGATACGGACATGTGTATATGCATAAATACAAATAAAATTTACATGTCATATATATGTTTATGAAATATTTAATATCTACATTAGATAAGGAACATATCACATTTTAAAAACTCTATTATTATTAAGAAAAAATGATATAAATATAAATTATTTAACTTACACAATAATCTTTGTATTGACTACAATAATGTAATTTTTGCAGTCTTGACTAATTATAACCAAGATAAAAAAATATTAAAATTAATATTATAAAAATTGTGTACGAAATTTTAAAGGATCTGATTATGCCATAAAACTAATTAACTAATTTTACTAAAAAAAAACTTTCATAATGAGTTAAAAATAATAAAAAATTAAAATAAATATTTTGAAATAAATTACAATAGAATAATAGTTTGATTTAATGAGTAGTTATTATGACATTGTCGAGACGGATGTTCTCGTCCATTCCCCATCCCCACCAGGCCACCACCCTCATGGTTTTTGTCTCAGGGGCCAGCTTCTCTGTCGGGTAGCGGCTGATTTTGCTTGTGTTTAGGGGCAGGTGGCTGGTGGGTTTCAATCAATGGGTGTTGATTGGAGGTGGTCGTTTCCTTTGAAGGCTTTATCTCGATTTCTGATCTGGCTAGCCATAGTCGATTTGGAGTGTGGAGTTTCTTGATTGGTATTCTTGGATGAAATCGGCCTCTACTTGGTAGACCATCTTCGATTTGTTGTATCGGGAGGTTGCAATGTAGGTGATGTTAGACGGTGGCCGCGAGAGTTTTATTGTATCAATTAAGTGTGTGTAGTTATTTTGTCTTTTCTTTTATTTTTTCTTTTCAAGTCCAACTATGCCTGGTTTTAGTCTCCTTCATGGAGTTGTCTAGTCTCCTTTTTTGAGTTCGTTTTTGCCCCTTGGTAGTTTGTATAATTCCAAGGACGTGATTCAGTCTTTCTGCTTGTTATAGTGGCGTCAGTTGACACCATAGGCGTACTCTTTATGAGTTTTTCAGTTTTAATATAATTGTCAATTTAAAAAAAAAATAAAAAACTAAATTATTCGTGCAGATTTATTGTGGATATTTTCAACAAATCATTTAAAAATAAATATGTACCTTGCAATTTATTTAATATTTTAATTCTCTATGACATTCCATTGTAACTAGCTATTCGAAAGAGTGTTAATTTTGTAGGCGTTAGAGAATATCCAAAAGGCAGATCTTTTGTTTTCTTAACAATTTTTTAAGAGGTGTCATTGTAATTTGTATCAATAGAATATATATTAAACGAATTTTTTTCCGGCCAGGATTGAATTCGTTATTATGCATGTGTTGGGAATTTTCTTTTCTTCATTATTATATTATTATATAACAAATTGTATGAAAAAGTCGGATTGTGTGGGCTTTGCTTGCATTTCAGCTTTAAAAGTCAAAATAAAATATTTACTGCCCTATAGAAAACAAAATCCAACGAAATTTCTCTAACCAATGTCCATTATTCTGGTGCTTCGAAAATGGATATGAGTTCGTTAAATTAGGATTTCAAAATTATAAAATATTTAATTAATTTAAAATTATAAATATACTTATAACTTTAATAATTTTCTTATTTTCGTACTGAATTTTTGAATATGATATATCATATTAAGCATCTCTTAACAAACCTTGATTTGACATTCAGATTACGTATATAAATAAATATGTATATTGAATGTTATAATAAAAATTAAATATTAACTATCAATATTACTAGTCAATTAAATAAATTTATCTATCAAATTTGTTATATAATAAGATATAAAATAATTATTGTAATATAGGATAAGTAAATCATAGAAGTGACGAGTGTCATTTTAAAATATAAACAGTAATATAAGTAAAATTTATTTGAAACCAAATAAAAAAAATTAGGCATATATAAATTTAGGTATAAATGTTTTATTATCACCCATGTAATAGAATTCCACCATGCTCAATAAATTCCGAGTCCCTTCTTCAATTATGAATTGGTATGGGCTTCTCATTTTTAACTGGGCCAAGGGTTTGCTTGGGGATCACATACTTTTGTATGTTGCATTGTTTGAGCTACTGGTTTGCTAGGAATTTACATCCCTTACCATAATAAATGATTTATATTACACTTATACACTCAATTTAACTTTATATATAAAATAACTAAATCAACCACAAAATATTACAAATATACCTAATATCAAATTCAACGGTTTTTAAGATATTTTCGGGCAAATTAAAAGTGATTGGATCATTAATTAGTAAGATATATTATTACCAAATATCAACCGGAGACATTATCTCTCTCTGCAAAAACGCGCACGATCTCCATCTCTATGCAAAAAACTTTCATCCCTTTCCCCAATTTTATCAAGCGTGACTGGAAAACTTCCCATCTCTACTAAAAAAAAAACAACAAACGGTGGGCAGCGGTTATGGGCTGCCGATAGAGTGCTTGTTCAGGCCACAAAAGAAGTCCACGCAGCATCACATGAAGACACGACCGCGAAGCACCCAGCCCTCGAACGATAAAGGAGATTAACGGACAAGTCAAAAAATAGGTCGAGAAACCAGACTTTTTGGGGGAAGTGGAGAATCGGACGATCCGCAAGGAAGGAGCGACCTTGGCCTTGTGCGGTGAGAAAATCGGCAGAGAGATGGCGCCGAAGATGGTGGCTAACATTTCCATTTTCGAATGATTACGTGCGTATAGCTGGGAATAGTTTTTTCCGATTTTAATGACTATAGAATCTGATGAGCTGTTCTCAAATTTTGTTGTCGCCGTTGATTTTTCTTTCCATTTTCTCAAATATACTGTTAATAAACTAGAAATATACTGTTAATAAAAATGTGAAAGATATACTGTTAATAAAACGTGAAAGATATCTTTTTAAACTAGAAATATACTGTTACAACAAAAAATAAACTAGAAATGTTTATGATTGACCCGTCTCGTTTTTTTTTTCTTTATAAAATTTCACGTCCTCGTTTTTTCCGGTATATTTCCAGTATATTTTCGGTAAAATTTAACGTCCTCAGCACACGCAAAATTTTGCTGAAAAACTTCACGTCCTTAATCGTTTTTTTGCAGTATATTTTTGGTTAATTGTTCTGTGGTGTGAGGAAGAGTACAGTGCAAATTCAATTTTTTTTTTTTATTTTTTTTTTTACGTGAATCGATCTGGATGAAAAATTCCATCTTTGTCAGTATATTTTTTTGTGTACCGTACTGCTTACTGATGATGAGAAAGCTTCAAACTTAGATTTCCTATATTTCCATATGAAACGCAAAAATTATTATACTCATGATTTTAATTCCATATTCTTTAAACCATTTCTTTTCTTTTGAAACCTACCGGAAATCATGCGAGAGAAAATTGGATGGGGTCCAACGTCTATGTAACTAAATTTTCGGTATTTATGCAGTTGATATTCAACAATTAGGTAGAGTCACAATATCTTTTGTATGGATGGTATTTTTGTAATTTTTTGTATTTCATGCAGGAGGGATGAAAATTTCCCTTGCTTTTAATAGGCTCAAAATTTTCTTCTATAAAATATATTCATCGAACCCAAAATGAGAAAATGACTTTTAAATCAACTCTTTTAATTGTTTCCTTTTAATTGCGGGGTTCAAATTTTAACATTACTTTACTATTTTTTTTCTTTACCAATTTTACAATATTTTATTTTAAACCAACTTGCATTTTGGCTCATGCAATGCATGGATAATAACAAATATAATAAAAAAATTATGTATTTAAATTTACTTTAATATGTGAAATTGTTTAATAGCAAGTGTGACATGATTTTTCGTATTGATTATGGTTTCTCTAATTTTAAAATGAGTGAAAATGATATAAATATCAATATAATCATTAAGATATAGATTAATAACTATGTAGAGCTCTTTAATTATATAGATAAATATTAAAAGTATCAATATTAGTTCAATATAGATAATATAAATACACCATATTTGTAATCAAATACTCACGACTATGACTTATGAGTGATTGTTTCTGTTACTAGATTTGACATTTGATTTGTGTACACCTCTATTTTTTTTTTTTTTTAGCTAAAAGCATTCTTAGGGATCAATCGAAGTATGAACTTATGTTGGATCCCAAAAGTCGAATATATTCATTCAAATTACCTCGTAAGTATATAACTAAATATGAAATCAATTCAACTCAACAATCCTCATGCATTACTCTTCAAAATAATTAGTTTACTGTAGCGCCTAGGTCAACATTTTAGAATTGAATATAGAGAATAACCAACTGATTCTTGTACACCTGAATATAAATTTTGTTACTTCCAGGGTTTACATAAATTTCTCCTAAAACATTTAGCCTTACAAAAATTTTAGGTCGTAACATAATTTGTATGCACAATTTGCTTTGATTGAAACTCAAAATCCTAGAATATCTTTTACCTTCCCACTCCAAAAGAATGAGACCAAGAGATCGAAGCCAAACTGCAAAAAATCTCTTTATCTTTCATCTTTTCTAAAATGCACCTACCCTCATCATCTTCTGGTTCATCAATCTCAGTCTTCTCCTCAAAAAACTTCACAACTTGCCTCATCGTTGGCCTTACACTTGCATCCGGATGTGCACACAATAGCCCTAATTGAATCATTCGTTCCACTTTTTCTTCATCAATCTCACCATTAGCCCAAAATCTTGGATCAACCCCACTAATCAATTCTCCTCTCCTCAAGAGTTCCAATAACCAATCAACCAAAAACGGCTTGCCCTCTTCAATTGGCCTCCTTCCACAAATGACCTCCAAAATCAACACTCCATAACTAAAAACATCCGTTTTAGTCGATACTTTCCCGGTTTTCACAACTTCCGGCGCTAAATACCCAATTGTACCCACCACACGTGTAGGATCAATATCATTTTCATTATCACGGTTATGAATCCACGCAAGCCCGAAATCGCCTAGCCTAGCATTCATTTGCTCGTCGAGCAAAACATTGGAGGCCTTAATATCTCTATGTAGAACCTTCGATTCCCATCCATGATGCAAATACGAAACTCCCGAAGCTATTTCCTTCAAAATTCTCATTCTTTCTTCACAACTCAACATCGTGCTATCGTCACACTCAAACACCCTCTTGTCAAGACTTCCGTGTTCCATATAGTCGTACACCACAAAAAGAGTATCTTTTTCCTTCTTGCACCAACCTCTCAACCCAACTAAATTCCGGTGCTTTAATCTCCCGAGGCTCGATACCTCTGCCGAGAATGCCTTTACACTTTCGCTATTTTCACGTGATAAGCATTTTATGGCAACTAATGAGCCTCCGGGAAAAATTCCTTTGTACACTTTTTTCCCGTTCACACCAATACCAATCACGTTCTCTTCCGCAAAGTTGTTTGTTGCTGATTCGATTTCTCGATAACTGATTCTATGCGGCCAATACTCCAATTCCCAGTGCTCTATTCCTTCCTTTTTCATTTTTATTCTCTTAATTCTCTTTTTCAACAAGATAACAACCACAAATGCAAAACATAACAAGATCAATGATAAAGCTACCACAATCATACCAGAAACAGAAGCAGAACCTCTGGTTCTATGATTTGGAGGCGCAAAATTTGGTAAGCCCTCATTGATTAAATCTTCGCTAAGGGAAAAATTCGTGTTGCTAAAACTCCAAGCCAAAATCCTGTGGCTCCCAAAAAAGCTTTTGTACGTGCCCCCGATGAATCCCACGTGCATCTCATCGAGCAGGACTCGCGAGAGATTGAGAGGAACACTGAACAACGGCCAATTGGGCCTTCTTTTCAACTCGACAGGTGCTATGGTGACATTAACCATACCATCAACATAATCAATCCAGGCTTGGTAATTTTTACCATCATTGAATGACAATGGTTTGAAGGAGCTGTCGTCATCATCCGGCCAATAGCCGGCTTGATCAGCTGATATAGAGATGATCGAGCCCACATCAACGCCCAGATGACCGTCGTCGTTGCTCAGAAACAGTGAGTTCCGGTACGCGTCAAATTCGACCCCGAAAACATGACTATTGGGCCGGCCGCCGCCGGAGGAATTGAAAAGGCCCAATTGGCTGGCCGAGCTGGAATTTAGGGTTACTCCACCCGGCACGAAGTAGAAAAGGAAGCCGTAGCGGATAACCCCTACCTGGGAAGGCGCCATGGAGAAGATGAAGGAGGTCGAGAAGGGAAGAGCGAGTGAGGAATTGGGCTGCTTCGTGTGGATCTGATAGGGGTAAAAGGCGCGGCCGTTGGAGGAGGAGACGTCGTTGGTTAGCGTGAGCACGTGAGATTTGATGTCGGCGTCGCCGTAGAGTGACGCGTCGGAGGAATTGAAGCCGTTGAAGAGGAAATCGACGGCGGAGGTGAGTCGGACGGCGAGAATGGTGGTCGACAGGCAGAGCAGAAGCTGGATAGGGTATCTCGCCATTGTTGGAGCTTTGAAGTTATGAGTCTCACGGAGAATACAGGAAGCTAACTTGTATATACTAAACTAAAATACAAGTACAACACCGTGTTGGTAAAAAAAAAATAATATTTAAAATTAAAAATATTAAAAACATTGTTTTAATTGAAATAATTTATTGAATAACTAATTTATATTTAAAAAAAATACTAACCACATATAATATTTGTCATCTTATATTATAAAAATTATTTTAAATTATACATTTAACAATTTTGTAGTTAAATTGATTTCAATAATTTAATTTATTTAATTAATTAATAGATAATTTAATTTTTTATTATAAATATAATTATTTATATCTTCTGATGCATATTTGTCATTTAATTATCTCTGCTCATTTTTAATTTTCAATCAATCAAAATATCCAGTCAAAAACTTATATGCAAGCATATCCTTAATTTTTTTGTTTGAAAAAGCTATGTTTGAGACCGAGGAAGATCATTAGTGTTTAATTTGTGTATTATCAGTTACCAGTATTTAAGTTATTGAAATGTCAAAAAAATTAAAAGAACTGATTGCGAGAATCAGGTCTAATTTTCTTAAGAATTAGTAGATATATGATTAAGTGTTATCTTCTCTTTTTAGAAAGATATAAAAACATCAACCAGCTTTGTTCAGAATTTATACACTTATAAGTTACAACATCTTACATAACATGTTTTTGCAAATTGTACGAGTTTATGGGCAGAAATTTCTAAACGTGTAATCTATATATATATAATTGCTGGCTAATAGTATTTAATAAAATTTTTAATAAAATTTTATTTTGATTTTCTTCCAAAAACCGTTACAAACTTTATCATTTATATATCTCTCTCTATATTTAATTACTAACAATAAATTTAATAATATTAATTATTATTTACCATCTTTTTATGTTACAACCTTCTATTATTATTATCATTATTATTATTATTAACTTTTTGCTAAGGTTATTTATTCTAAAATTAATATTATATTTTTTTTATCTTATTTAGCGATTTTATTTTTAAATAAGTTAATTTATTTTAATGTTATAGTAAAATTTCTTAAAATCACATAATCAAATGTTATAATAAATTTAATATTTTTAAGCTAATAGATTGGCGATCTTTCAAAATTACATTATTTATTATATTTTATGTAATTAATATAGTGGTTCATATGCAATCAAATAGTTATGTACTATTTATTTTAACCAATGATCAAATTTTAAAACATAATATCATTATCTAATTTATATTTTATTATTATATGCATAAATATAACTTATAATACACTATGTTTAAAATATAATATCATTGTATAACTTATAATTTAAATACTATATGCATAAATGTAATTTATAATATTCTATTTACATTGTGCAAATGCACATAGTCGAATCCTAGTGATTTTCAAGATGCCCCAACTCCTTAATTATAAACTTTTATTAGCTAATCTTTGACAAAAAAAAAAAATCCTTGCGACAGGCGTAAGAAAATATCCAAAAGGCAGATCCTTTGTTTTCTTCAATAGAATATATATTAAGAGTAATGCTACAAGTACATAATAGTGTACATAACACTCACATTAAGTGGATCCTAAAAAAAATAAAAAATCAAGTGGACTCTACTCTATGTGAGTGTTATGTACAACCTTATGTACATTTATTATGTACATGTAGCATTTTTCATATATTAAACGACTTGTTTTTCCGGTAAGGATGGAAATTTTCTTTTCTTAATTATTATATTATTTAATTGTCTGAAAAAGTCGGATTGTGTGGGCTTTGCTTGCATTTCAGCTTTAAAAGTCAAAATAAAACATTTAAACTGCCCTATAAAAAACAAAATCCAACGAAATTTCTCAAACCAATGTCCATTATTCTGGTGCTTCATAATGGATATGAGTTCGTTCAATTAGGATTTTAAAATTATAAAATACTTAATTAATTTAAAATTATAAATATACTTATAATTTTAATAATTTTCTTATTTTTGTACTGAATTTTCGAATATGATATATCATATTAAACATCTCTTAACAAACCTTGATTTGACATTCAGATTAGGTATATAAATAAATATGTATGTTTAATGTTATAATAAAAATTAAATATTAACTATCAATATTCTAGTCAATTAAATAAGTTTACCTATCAAATTCGTTATATAAAAAGATATAGAATAATTATTGTAATATAGGATAAGTAAATCATAAAAGTGACAAGTGTCATTTTAAAATATAAATATTAATATAATTAAAATTTATTTGAAACCAAATAAAAAAATAGGCATATATAAATTTAGGTATAAATGTTTTATTATCACCCATGTAATAGAATTCTACCATGCTCAATTAATTCCGAGTCCCTCCTTCAATTATGAATTGGTAAGGGCTTCTCATGCTTAACAACGTGGTCTGGGATTTGCAGATGAACCGTGCCACCGGCGACCGAGGTGTGCGCGGGGGAGTTCACGGAAGAAGTGGAGGTCGTGTTCTAGGCGGGGCGCCAGGTCGACGATCTCCACAACCGCCACCCGACGATGTAGACGGCGAGGAGACCATCTCGGAGGTGGATCCCTTCGAAGTGTGGCCGCCTCTGCCCGTTGAGACTGAGCTCGTTGCTGCACACGACGACCAAGATGTGCAGCAAGAGAGTGCAATTTTTGAGGAAGATAACAGACCATTGTATGACGGTCCGCCTATTTTCGATGAGGAGCCTCCGGTGACGGAGACATATCTTTGCAGCAATATGGGTCCTGCGTGGGACGTCGCAGAAGTTGAGCCTTTGATTGAGATGCCGTCGTTCAAACCCGATTTTTGGAGTATCTTGGCCAACGATGATTTTTTGGAGCCAAAACCGAGGCTCAATAACTGGTGGGCCATTTTTCGATTTTCTATCCCGAAGTCTCTCAACAACGGGATGTTTGGCTGTAGTTATGGATTTGAGTGCGGTGGACGATGTGGTATGTTTGGTGTTAATTCCGTTGTGTGCGTTATGCATATGGAGGCGTGTACATGTGCCTTTGCAGCAATTCAATACTTGCTCATGATTATGTTTACCATCGGGATTGTTGGACGACATTCATCCTTCATGTTCGACCGGGAGAAACGACGGGGGTTTCCTACCATGAGTTCGACACCACACTCCGGCCATGAGAACGCATCGGCTTCGAGGGTGAAGCCTTCCAAACCGGGGGAGAATGGTGTAGATTAGTATTTATTATTATTATTATTATTATTATAAGAGTTAGAAATTGTTTAATATTTAATAAGAGTTCTTGTCTTGTTGGACACCACATTCCCTCTAGTTTATTTTCGTTGGTTGATTTTGAATAAAAATAAGATTTGATATCGTGTTTTGGTGTTCTTGAGATTGCGTAATATCGTCCCACTAGTCTACGTCAGTCCTTTATCCAAACTCACATTACATTTTTTTTTTAGCTAAAAGCATTCTTAGGGATCAATCGAAGTATGAACTTATGTTGGGATCCAAAAAGTCGAATATATTCATTCAAATTACCTCGTAAGTATATAACTAAATGTGAAATCAATTCAACTCAACATACATAATACATTACTCTTCAAAATAATTAGGTCAACATTTTAGAATTTAATATAGAGAATAACCAACTGAATATAAATTTTGGTACTTCCCGAATTTACACAAATTTCTCCTAAAACATTATCCTTACAAAAATTTTAGGTCGTAACATTATTCGTATGCACGGTTTGCTTTTGATTGAACCTCAGAATCCTAGAATATCTTTTACCTTCACACTCCAAAAGAATGATATCATTATTCCAGAATAACTTTTACCTTCCCACTCCAAAAGAATGAGACCAAGAGATCGAAGCCGAACTGCACAAAATCTCTTTATCTTTCATCTTTTCTAAAATGCACCTACCCTCATCATCTTCTGGTTCATCAATCTCAGCCTTCTCCTCAAAAAACTTCACAACTTGCCTCATCGTCGGCCTCACACTTGCATCCGGATGTGCACACAATAGCCCTAATTGAATCATTCGCTCCACTTCTTCTTCATCAAACTCACCATTAGCCCTAACTCTTGGATCAACCCCATTAATCAATTCCCCTCTCCTCAAGAGTTCCAATAACCAATCAACCAAAAACGACTCACCATGTTCAATTGGCCTCCTACCACAAATCACCTCCAAAATCAACACTCCATAGCTAAAAACATCCGTTTGAGTTGATACTTTCCCGGTTTTCACAACTTCCGGCGCTAAATACCCAATTGTACCCACCACACGAGTAGGATCATTTTCCTTATCACGATTATGAATCCATGCCAGCCCAAAATCACCCAGCCTAGCATTCATTTGCTCGTCGAGCAAAACATTGGAGGCCTTAATATCTCTATGTAGAACCTTAGATTCCCATCCATGATGCAAATACGAAACTCCCGAAGCTATTTCCTTCAAAATTCTCATTCTTTCTTCACAACTCAACATCTTGCTATCGTCACACTCGAACACCCTCTTGTCGAGACTTCCGTTTTCCATATAGTCGTACACCACAAAAAGCATATCTTTTTCCTTCTTGCACCAACCTCTCAACCCCACTAAATTCCGGTGCTTTAATCTCCCGAGGCTCGATACCTCTGCCGAGAATGCCTTTACACTTTCGCTATTTTCACGTGATAAGCGTTTTACGGCAACTAATGAGCCTCCGGGAAAAATTCCTTTGTACACTTCTTTCCCGTTCCCACCAATACCAATCACGTTCTCCTCCGCAAAGTTGTTTGTTGCTGATTCGATTTCTCGATAACTGATTCTATGCGGCCAATACTCCAATTCCCAGTGCTCTATTCCTTCCCTTTTCATTTTTATTCTCTTAATTCTCTTTTTCAAGAAGATAACAACCACAAATGCAAAACATAACAAGATCAATAACAAAGCTACCACAGTTATACCAGAAACAGAAACAGAACCTCTGGTTTTGTGGTTTGGAATCTGCCGAGGCGCGAAATTTGGTAAGCCCTCATTGATCAAATCTTCGCTAAGGGAAAAATTCGTGTTGCTAAAACTCCAAGCCAAAATCCTCTGGCTCCCGAAAAAACTCCTGTATGTGCCTCCGATGAATCCAACGTGCATCTCATCGAGAAGGACTCGCGAGAGATTGAGAGGAACGCTGGCCCACGGCCTATTAGGCCTTCTTTTCAACTCCACAGGTGCTATTGTCACATTAACCACACCATCAACATAATCAATCCAGGCTTGGTAATTTTTACCATCATTGAATGACAAATGCTTGAAGGAGCTGACGTCATCATCCGCCCAATAGCCGGCTCCATCAGCTGATATAGAGACGATCGAGCCCAAATCAACGCCCAGATGACCATCGTCAATGCTCCGAAACAGCGAGTTCCGGTAGACGTCAAATTCGACCGCGAAAATATGACTATTGGGCGGGCCGCCGCCGGAGGAATTGAACAGGCCCAATTGCCTGGCCGAGCTGGAATTTAGGGTTTCTCCGCCCGGCACGAAATAGAAAACGAAGCCGTAGCGAACGACCCCTACCTGGGAAGGCGCCATGGAGAAGATGAAGGAGGTCGAGAAGGGGAGAGCGAGTGAGGAATTGGGCTGCTTCGTGTGGATCTGATAGGGGTAAAAGGCGCGGCCGTTGGAGGAGGAGACGTCGTTGGTTAGCGCGAGCACGTGAGATTTGATGTCGGCGTCGCCGTAGAGTGACGCGTCGGAGGAATTGAAGCCGTTGAAGAGAAAATCGACGGCGGAGGTGAGTCGGACGGCGGGAATGGTGGTCGACAGGCAGAGCAGAAGCTGGATAAGGTATCTCGCCATTGTTGTTGTTGGAGCTTTTGAAGATACGATTCTCAGGGAGAATACAGGAAGATAGTAACTTGTATACTAAAATATAAGCAATTCCTTTTACTTTTGTTTTTTATGAGCTTTATATGATTAAGACTAGCCGAACTTGTACGTTAACAAATATTTCATGTTCGTTAGTTTAAAAATTGAAGTTCACTAAACAAGTTAAAGGGAGAAATTATAGATTTAAACGAGCTCAATCATATGTTTAGTTGTTAAATGAGCTTAACGAACATAGTTATAATTATATATTTAATTAAACACGGGATATAACATAAGTCACTCGGATCGGCTCATACGTACGAGCTTGATTCTTTGATTTCTCTTATCTTTTTGCCCTTTGACTAGTTCCCTCGCGTTTCTATGTTGATTTTCTCTACCATTACTATAAATATTAATTATACTGCAATTGGTGGATATACGTCCAAATCAACATTAAAAGTGACAAGTACAATGTACAATGAATGATTTCAAAACGAGTTTCTCTTCTATATTCTACAATACAAGTACCTAATAATGTTTGATTTTTTTTTTATTTATTTTTTTTTTTTTTACGAAACGATAGATTGAATATAACTAAGAAATGTACACAGTTCGACGACTTAAGAGCCAATACAGACCGAAGTCAAATGGGAGGAACACTCGCAGGTGCCCTAAAAATTACCAACCTAAAGGAGGAAAGGAGCTCGGCAGAGCAACAGCTACTGAACCCGAACTGCTTACAAATGAAACCAAAAACAATAATTATCTACCAATACATACCTCAGCAATAAGTCTAATTCTACATAGCAATCCAACAACAGTTTACAACATTAACAAAACTCAAGTATTCAACCACTGAACTTAAAAAGAACCTAGCTGATCCTTCAGTTTTAGCTCATGCTGCCTTCAAATTCAATCCATTCCTTCACAGCTACCTCCACTACATCTTTAGCAGGTCTTAGGACATTTTGGAACACCTTATAGTTTCTTGATTTCCAAATCCATTAGAGTAGATAGGCTGCGAGGCAAACTCTGTCATTGTTTATTGGACTCTGTTTAAAAGAACAAATTTTAGACCACCAGACTTTGAAACTGTCCATATCCTGCTCTAAACCATCCCATGTGATTGGTGCTAGAGTCCAAATCAGTTTTGCTCTGGGACATTGAAAGAAAAGATGCTCCATTGTTTCTGGTGCCTCCCCGCAATTTTTGCAAATGGTATCAATGAACACCCCCTTTTTGAAAAGATTGCAATTAACTGGAAGAAGGTTAGAATGACACTTCCATATGAAGTGCTTCAACTTACCTTTAATATTTAATCCCCAGCTTCTCTTTCTCACCTTTTTAGCTGTTAGGTGCTCCCAGCTGCTTTCTGGAAGATCCATGTAGCTCCATTTTTGGTGTATGAGTTTGAGGTAGGTAGAAGCCACTGTGAACTCCCCTTTTGAGTGCCAGTCCCAGCAGACCTTGTCATGTGCAGTTGGTTCCAAACTCTTGATGGATAATATAGCTTCTATCTCCTGCTCACTAAAAGTCTCTTCCAGTAGTTCAGTGTTCCATCTTCTACCACTACTGTCTAACAAGTCCACCACCATTTTGATCCTTGGGTTTGTCTGAAGTGTTGTGGGTTTAAATCCTGGAAGAGAGGGTATCCAAGGATGTTCCCAGACTTTGGTTGCTTTGCCATCCCTTACTTCATGTCTTAGCCCTTTGATCAATGTTTCTCTTACATTCAACCAGCTATTCCATAATCATGAACCTGCCTGTGAGTGTTGAGCTGTAAGAATTGTACCTTGTGGAAAATACTTGGCCTTCAGGATTTTGCTCACAAGCAAGTTTGGTTTGGTATAGATCCTCCAGAGTTGTTTGGTTATCAGAGCTTTGTTGAGTAAGTGTATATCCTTGAAATTCAGACCACCAAATTCTTTGGGAACAGCCATTTTATTCCAAGCCTTCCAGCATATGCTTCTTTTGTTATTGCCCACATTCCACCAGAATGATGCAAACAGCTGAGAAATAGAATTACACATGGTTTTGGGCAGAATAAAACAAGACATAACATATATTGGAAGAGCTCCAAGCACTGCCTTAAGGAGGACTTCCTTTCCTACACTTGTCAAAAAATTATTTTTCCAGCTTTGAATTCTTTTTTTCACACTCTCAGTCACAAATGAAAAAGTTTCCAGCTTTGACCTACCTATTCCCAATGGTAGTCCTAAGTATTTAGAGGAGTTGTGCTGGGATATACCAAGCAGAGTTTGACAGATAGAGTCTTTCAGGGAAGAATCACTGTTTCTGCTAAAGAAAATAGTAGATTTCTGGAGATTGACAGTCTGGCCAGTAAACTTGTGGAACTGAGAGAGCAAATTCAGAAGAAGCCTAGCATGCTGGACATTTGCTTTACAGAAGATAAGTGTATCATCTGCAAAGAAAAGGTGTGTGAAAGCAGGACCATTTTTACTGATTTTCAGACCTTGAAGGAGCCCAAACCTGGTGTATCTTTTGATGAGGTTAGACAAAATTTCAGAGACAAGGATAAAGATGTAAGGAGACAGTGGGTCTCCCTGTCTAATGCCCCTGGAAGGTGTTAGATACCCTTTAATCTCCCCGTTAAAATTGAAAGAAAAGGAAGCAGAAGATATGCAAGCCATAATCCATTTGATGAAAGTAGAGTGAAACCCCAGTTTAATCATAATTTGCCTGGCACAATCCCATTCAACCCTATCAAATGCTTTAGACATGTCTAGTTTCATAGCCATGTAACTTTTATTACCATTTCTATGTCTATTCAGAAAATGAATGGCTTCATTGGCAATGATTACATTGTCCATGATTTGCCTATCAGCTACAAAGGCAGACTGATTAGCACTTATGCATAAGGGTAGGCAAGGCTTTAGTCTTTTAGCAAGAATTTTGGCAATGACTTTCTAAGTAACACTACAAAGACTAATTGGTCTATATTGGGAGACTGTTTCAGGGTTTTGACATTTAGGTATTAAGGTAATCAAAGAATGGTTTATACTTTTAAGCAACTGACCCGAGGCAAAAAAACTCTGAACTAAAGCACAGAAATCTTCTTTGACAATATCCCAAAAAGATTGAAAAAAGGTAGAGGTCATACCATCTAAACCAGGTGATTTGTTGGTGTCAATGTTGAAAACTGCTTCTTTGATTTCCTCCTCTTCAACAGCAGCAGTGAGTTCAGAGTTAAGGTCTGGGGTGATCTTGTGCTGAATATCTCTCAAAAGCTCAGTACCATTCACTTGTCCTTGAGAGATGAATAACTAAGTGTAGAATTCCTCTAGACATCCCATCATTTCTTCCTTTGTGTCACACACACTGTGGTCTTCTTTAATGAGTCTGTTGATTTTGTTCAGAGATCTTCTCTCTTTGATGCAAGCATGGAAATACCGGGTGTTTTTGTCTCCATTCTTTAGCCAGTTGTTCCTTGCCTTTTGCTTCAAAAATTGCTCCTCTGATGAATTTGCCTTGTCCAACTGGCTCCTGAGTTGGTCCCAGAGTTCCCAATTCCTCTCACTTCCCTGCTTGTTGAGCTCATTCAATCTCTGGTTAATCTCAGCAATTTTGGAGAAGTTTTCAGATTTGAATTTACTGCTCCATTTGAGTATTTCTACTCTTGTGCCCTTGATTTTCTCCTGGAATCTGAACATGGGGGTGCCTGAGTAGTGTTTGCTCCATGCTGTTGCAATAATTTCTTTAAGATTATCTCTGGCCAGCCATCTTTTATCAAAACAAAACCTTTTCTTGACTGATTTTGTACTTGGATCAAAGTTGAGAAGGAGAAGTCCATGGTCTGATGAGCTTCTATGGATATTGGTTATTTCAGCTGAAGGAAAATGTTGATGCCATGTCAAAGAGCTGAAGATCCTGTCAGTTTTTCCTGTACAAATCCCTCTCCTTCTCTTCTGTTCCCCCAAGTAAATTTTTGCCCTTTCATTTCCAATTCTAGAATCCCCATATGAGCTATGAAGTTCTTAAATCCCTGCATAGAAGCCTATGATCTTTTCCTGCCCCCTTCTTTATCTGAGTCCTCTAATATATCGTTCCAATCGCCCCCTATAAACCAGCTCTCTCCCCATCTTTGCTTAGCATCCAGCAGATAGTCCCATTGAATCTTTCTCTGAGCTCCATCATTACTCAAATACACAAAAGCCCCCCAAAAAGAGGAATGTTTCCCAGGATCCCAGTAGTGTACTTCTATACAAAATTGGTTTTTGACTAAGCTAATAATCTGGATAGTTGTGTCCCATCCCAAGAGAAGACCTCCACTCTTGCCTAGAGGATCAACAACTGTCCATCTATCTCCAAAACAAAGGTTTCTACACACTGTTTTTACAAATTTTTCTTTTTTTTTTTTGTTTCAGACAGAAATGTAAAGGTTGGGTGGTGGAGCCTACTTATCTCCTTGATTTGGGAAACTGTAGAGGGCCCACCCAGCCCTCTACAGTTCCACACCACAGCCTTCATTGGGGGGTTGGGGGCCCATTTGGGTCGGCCTCCTTCACCCTATCATTCTCAATTTTCTGCTTTTTGGCTGGTTCCTGGCAAGTCTCAGTGGTATCCTCTTCCTCTAAGTTCTCTGATGTTTGAGAGGTTGTTTTCATAAGTCCAATAAATCTATATTAAGTTATATGAAATGACACCAATATCAAATTTATAAGGCTTATAAACTCTCAACAGAAAATTGAAAAGTATAAAGAAAATATGACTTATTTGAAGGTTGCGGACTATTAATATATTAAAATTTCAAACATTTGCTATGAATAGTATGCAAAAAAAAAAAATATTCATCAAAAACTTTTATTTACTAAAAAGGAAATTTTGTAGTTGTAATTTTTTACTTTTTCCGTTTAGCGTTTACACATTGTTTTAGAAAATCATAGAAGTGACGAGTGTCATTTTAAAATATAAACAGTAATATGATTAAAATTTATTTGAAACCAAATAAAAAAAAAATAGGCATATATAAATTTAGGTATAAATGTTTTATTATCACCCATGTAATAGAATTCCACATGCTCAATAAATTCCGAGTCCCTTCTTCAATTATGAATTTGTATGGGCTTCTCATTCTTAACTGGGCCAAGGGTTTGCTTGGGGCTCACATACTTTTGTATGTTGCATTGTTTGAGCTACTGGTTTGCGTTTAATAGGCTCACATGCTGTCATTTGGGTTGAGTGTAACTATTTTCGCCAACACCAATATAGGAATTACAACCTTGTCCAATTTGTTTCCAAGTAAAATTAGAATGATTTTTTGTTTGTAGATTGTCTAAGCAAAGTACAATATTTGCTGCGATCAAAAGAAGCAACAAATGATGATCCATTCTAATTTAGTTACATTTATTAGTGACAAATGAAAAGGGCAAATCACACAACTCTAGCTGGTTTCTAGTTCAATGTTTTAGAATGCAATGCACAAAACAACTACTTGTATATTCTTTACTTTGAAAATACTTACACAACTTTCTACTAAAACATAAGGCTTACAAAACTTTTACTATACAACACTTCTCCTATGCATAATTTACTATGATTGAGATAATGAAACTACACTCTCACACATAACATGTTTTCACCTTCCCACTCCAAAAGAATGAGACCACGAAATCGACACTGAACTACACAAAATCTCCTTATCTTTCATCTTCTCTAAAATGCACCTACCCTCATCATCTTCCTCCGGTTCGTCAATCTCAGCCTCCTCTGCAAACAATTTCACAACTTGTCTCATCGTTGGCCTTACACTCGAATCGGTATGTGCACACAATAACCCTAATTGAAGCATTTGCTCCGCTTTTTCTTCATCAAATTCACCATTATTAGCCCTTAATCTCGAATCAACCCCACTAACCAATTCCCCTCTCCTCAAGAGTTCTAATAACCAATTTACCAACAAAGGTTTTCCCTCTTCGATTGGCCTCCTCCCACAAATCACCTCCAAAATCAACACTCCGTAACTAAAAACATCTGTTTTAGTCGATACTTTCCCATTTTTCACGACTTCCGGCGCTAAATACCCAATTGTACCCACCACACGAGTAGGATCATCCGCTTTATCGTGATTATGAATCCGGGCAAGCCCGAAATCGCCTAGTTTTGCATTCATTTGCTTATCGAGCAAAACATTAGAAGACTTAATATCCCTATGTAGAACCGTGGATTCCCATTCGTGATGCAAATACGAAACTCCCGAAGCTATTTGCTTCAAAATTCTTATTCTTTCTTCAAAACTCAAGATTTTGCCAAAATCATCGCACTCGAACACCCTCTTGTCGAGACTCCCGTTTTCCATATAGTCATACACCACAAAAAGGCCGCCTTCTTTCTCCTTCTTGCACCAACCTCTCAATCCCACTAAGTTCCTATGCTTTAATCTCCCAAGACTCGATATTTCTGCCAAAAACGTTTCACATGATAAACGCTTCACGGCAACCTCCAAACCGCCCGTCAATTTCCCTCTATACACTTTCCCATTCCCAAAACCACCGATCACATTTTCGTTCGAGAAATTGTTTGTGGCTGACTCGATCACTCGATAACCGATCCTATGCGGCCAATATTCCAGTTCCCATTGCTCCATTTCCTCCTTTTTTGCCTTTTTCATTCTGAAATCCCTTCTTCTCAACCAGCAAACAACAACACAACAAAGTAAGACAGAAAACATAACACCCGTTATCATACCAACTATAAAACCTGAGGATTGAGTAACTGGGGTTGTTCGATCCTCGAAATTCGGCAAGCCCCGAGTAACCAATCCCTGGCCGAGCGAAAAATTCGTGTTGCTAAAACTCCAAGCCAAGATGAGGTGACTTTGAGTCAAAGCCCCAGTAGCTGCAGCAAAACCCACATACATCTCGTCCTGCAAAACATCGGAAAGATTAAGAGGGAAGCTAAGCAGTGGTCGATTAGGCCTTTTCAAACCAGCGGGCGCCATGGTCACATTCACAACGCTGTTCACATAATCGATCCAGACTTGATAATTTCTGCCGTTATTAAGCTTTAATTTCTTGAATTTCCTGCCGTTATCGGGCCAAAAGCCCGCTTCACAAGCCCTAACCGATTCCAGCGAGTTCACATCGACGCCCACGTGGTTCCCGTTGATGTCGCCGAACTCCTCGTTCTGAAAAACGTCGAACTCGACGCCGAACACGTGGCTCCTGGGGTCGCCGTTGCTCGTCCGATTGAACAGGCCGAGGTGCTGGGCGGAGGCGGATTCGAGGATCCCGGGGGTCGGGACGAAGACGAAGAGTATGCCGTGGCCAGGGAGCGCGCCGCGGAAGGGCGCCATGGAGAAGATGAAGGAGGTGGAGAAGGGGAGGACGGCGGAGGAATTTGGGCGTTTTGTGGGGATCTTGGAAGGGTAGATGGCGCGGCCGAGGGAGAAAGGGAGGCGATTGGTGAGGGAGATGACGCGGGAGGGGTTCGTGGTGTCTCCGTAGAGGGAGACGTCGGAGGGTCCGAAGCCGTTGAAGAGGAAGTCGACGGCGGCGGCGGCGGGGAGTAGGGTTAAGGATAGGGAGAGTAGGAGGAGGTGGCTGAGGTGTTCGTTCATGGCGGTGGAGGGGAATGATGAATCGAATGGCGAATGATTGTGTTGGTGAGTAGGCCGATTGGGTAATTAAAAAAGCAGTGAAGTAATTGCATGTCCACCGTCTGCCAGACAATTGAGAGCGACGGAGTTTGTGTGAGTCAAAGAAGAAGGAAGGTCCCAGCTTGCGTATTTGATTTTTCCAACTCTTCCCACATTAATTTATTATTTATCTTTTTTTTTTTTCAAACAATAAAAACGGAAGGCTCACTAGCCTTTACAATCAAAATGAAGCAGAAATTCCACATCCATGAAGCAGAACCCATCTTCTTATCATCCAAAACACAACCAGAGGACCTCCAAATCTGTTAATTTACTACATTTGATAACGTTATCCTTCTTCTCTTGATTTTTTCTCTCACTTAGAACATACGAGTCCCTTCATCGGTTTCGTTCCAAGCCTTACAAACCTCCTCCTCCACTTCTTTCCTCAACCACCTTTTATCTACTTGACTATTTCAAATATAATTATTTTCATTTAATTGTTATATTTTAATCTCCGCTACAATTTCAATATATTTTTATTCTTTCGTCAAATAATTTGTTTTCAATTAAAATTTGTTTGAATAATTTCTATCCAGTTCCACATTTGTACAGATTATCCGAGTTGATTAATATTTGTCTTAATACATATATAAAATAAACTTGCATACTTTATATCTTTACAATATAAAAAGAATTATAGTGTTGTTTCGCAATTAGTTGATAAGTAACTATTAAATTGTATTAGTTGATTTGACCAACAAATTGAATTAACAGTTTTTCATAAAAAATATTTGGTAAATAACGAAAATTTATAGTTGTTACGCTACATAACTTTTTTTAATCTTCTGTTTCCTATGCTGCCATTATTAGTTTTTTTTTTAATCAACGATTTTAGTAAATATATATATATATAATAATNTTTAAATATGGTCTAATTCGTTAATTTGGCACAAAATTTCCTAACAAACAAAGAAGCCCTTTATCTTTCTCTCATTTTCGCAGAAATCACTTACTTGAATTGTTAGAACTTAATATGATGAAAAAAAAAAAATGAAAATAATTTAATATATTATTTAGTGTTACCTGAGATATCTTGGCTATAAGACGAATGACAACAAGACAACAAAGCAGGTCAATGTTCTGGATATGAACGTTTCTGCTTGAAAGCTTGATTTCTAACTAATTAAGGACAATCAATTTTTCCACTTGACTTTTGAAATGGAGTTCACAATTTCATGAAGATTCTGAACCATAAACTGGTTTTGTGATCGCGTTTTTCTCGAGGACGAGGACAAGGTTTTGTGTATCCTTTGACTAACTCCTACAAAAGTAATGGAGGCTTGATTTTTTCTTACTGTTAGAGATGAGAATTGTCATAAGGAAATGATAGAAGCCAGCAAGAAAATATTCCAACGAAGAAAATCGATTTAACGATTCATTGACAAGTGAAACAAACATATAAAAATATATTTATGGGGATAATTGTTAGTAAATTGAGTGTAAATGTGAGTTTTGTTCAACCAATTTCAATTAATTGGTATTTGATCAACCAATTTTTTTTATATATTCCCAACCAATTGATTACCATGCGTGCAATAATGAATATTGGTGGACAACTTGTCAAATTCACACCAAAGCATAAACAACCTCTCCAAATATCCATTTCATCACCTATAAATACATGTTGCAACTCATTTGATAAAATACACAAGAACTGAAAGAAAAGAAACACGGTAGAGAGGTGGAGAAAGGAAAGAGAAAAAAAAATAAAAAATAGAGAGAAAGAATAAAAATATAAAATATTTATTTGTTATCAAAATAACAAAAAAGGGATATTTTTATTCATATTTTTATGTGCTCAATTCTCGACTCCAATCTAGTTCGCCGGAGCTCGTAAATCTGGTGTGCTAAAGATTTAGAGACGTTTGCCGTTGTATCTTTGGGGAAGTTACGCCTGAACCGTTAGCTGCCACACGGGGCGTATTCTTCTTGCGAAAAGAGTTTTACTCGCCTCGGCTATAATATTTCCGTTTTAATTTATTTTTCATTTGTAATTTATTTTTCAGTTCAATTGTAATTTTCTATTTTTAGAATATTTGTAAGAATTGAAAAATACATATCAGTTCGTAGGATTCCCGTGTAATTTTATACCCGATTTCTAACAATCGCAAGAAGAATATCTCAACCTACTGGACTGATCGCTTCCACCGGAAATGGTTCCAACACTCAGCATCCGATCAATCATGTACCTGTTGTCCATGTCCTACTGCCGAGAAGCCCGAAAAATTCAATGGGCTTGATTTTAAAAGGTGGCAACAAAAGATGTATTTTTACCAGACCACTTTGGGTTTGGTGAAATACCTGAAGGACGACCCCCCGGTGAAAATGAGACCAATACTGAACTACGCACTGCGTACGAAGCTTGGGGGCAAGGTAATTACCTTTGCCGTAACTATGTCCTGAACGAACTTAGTAACGAGTTGTACAATGTGTACAGCTCGGTTGGTTCTGCCAAAGAGCTTTGGGCTGCTTTGGAAAAGAAGTACAAGACCGAGGATGCCGGGGCGAAGAAATTCGTCGTCGGAAAATTTCTTGACTTCAAAATGGTTGACACAAAGACCGTTGTGTCACAAGTGCAAGAATTCCAACTCATCTTGCACGATATTCATGCTGAGGGAATGTCTCTGAGCGAGTCATTCCAAGTTGCGGCTGTGATTGAAAAACTGCCGACGGGTTGGAAAGACTTCAAGAACTACCTCAAACATAAGAGGAAGGAAATGAGTCTTGAAGACTTGATTGTTCGTCTTCGTATTGAGGAGGACAATCGTAATTCATCGGGGAAAATTCTGATGATGGAGGCTCGTGCTAACTTGATAGAGTAAGGCAACTCAAGTAAAAGGAAGTCCCTAGACAAAGGGAAACAGCCTGCCAAGGTTTGGAAGTTTACCGGAACTTGTTATAATTGTGGAAAGCCGAACCATATGGCTAAAGAGTGCAAGAGGCCAAAGAAGGCTGGGCCAAAGAAAGGTAAACCGAGTGCCCTTGTGGCTAAACGCGGCCTTATGCCGGATGAACTGACCGACTTTGATATGTCGGCTGTGGTGTTTGAAGCCAATATGGTGGATAACCCAAGGGAGTGGTACATCGATACTGGTGTCACTCGTCATGTGTGTTCCGATAAGGAGGTGTTCTCTGAATACACTTCTGCTAAGAGTCGGAAACTTTACATGGCAAACTCCGCCACGGCTGATGTGGCTGGAGTGGGCACTGTGGTGCTGAAGCTGACTTCTGGAAAGGAGTTGAAGCTTAAGGATGTTCTGCATGTCCCAGACATCCGCAAGAATTTGGTATCCGGATCTCTTCTTGTTGAGCATGGATTTAGGCTGGTATTTGATGCCAAGAAATTTGTTCTTAGTGTTGGGATCTGTGAGGATCTCGTTATGTACAAATCACGAATTCAATAGCAAACGTAAACCTATGCGCAGCGGATCTAAAGGTTTGACGTAGAGAACTTACGGCTTAAAATTTATGTAGATCTGGTTGACCACGAACGGTTGACCGCAATTGATTGACCGCAACACGCGTCTTGGGTTGCACGAACAAGATCAGATCAAAACTGGATCAAACGGATGCAAACAGATCAAAACGAAATTTTGCTGCCAGACACCTTCCGGCGGCGCGTGAGGGCGCGTGCGGCGTCGGATTCCGGCGACGTCGGCGGCGATGGAAAGCTCTCGTCGAGACGGTCGTCTGGGTATACTGTACGTCTCAATCGGACTTCCGGTTAGTTCTGTAGGTCAAAATCAATTTCGTCTCGGTTTACCTACAGATCTTCTACTGTATTACTCAATACACCCTTCTTCAACTTGTACCAGTGGAGCAACAAGAAGAAGATAAAGCTCGAATGAGATCTAGAGAGAGAGATGGTTTCACGTGAGAATGAGACTTCTATTCTCTTCTCATGAGCTTAATGATGTATATATAGAGCTACAGTAGGGACCCTAAGGAGATTAGGAAAAGGGCTCCTTAATTAATTAGACTAACTGTGGGCCAAACCCACTCCTCTAATTAATTAAATAATATTAATGGGCCACCAACATTATATTATTGCACTCCCTTTCCCTAGCCCAAATTACATTTGAGACTCCAATAATAATTACTCGATTTACCTCCCCACGTTTAAGATATAATGTCCATTAATTAATTCGATTACTGACAATCAAGAATTAATTAATTTATTATTATTTCACCGAAGCTAGCGCTCGTTCATCACATTCTTATTATGCCGGAATTTAATCCACCTGCAGGGTTTAGCATAACAATCCTTCATGAACTCACTCCGGGGACATCATCAAACTAACGCACATGGTGACCGTAAATATCCTAACAGCACATCCTATATATAATAATATTACCCAAAACAGTAGGAATATTAATCCAGCGAACTGAACCTCACCCATGTGAATCAAAGTAATATATATTATATATATCTGCCTGTTTAATATCTTACGGGTTAAGAGAACGCAGTAATTAACCGAGGCCTAGTTCATTTACGACGATCAGTATAAAATGAACTTCTCCTCTCTGGGATCCTGTTCAATACATAAATGTACTAGTGCAACTAATCAGTCAAGACAAACTGTACAGTTGACACTACAACCGTTCGGATGGGGTGTTCATGTCCATCTAGGTTGTGAACAACTATTCTTGTTCGCAAGTGACTGACAGAGTGATCTTCGGTTCGCCCGATGACGACCCACCCTATCTAAGTGCAGAACAACAGAACGTAGAACTTGTTTAATCTAACATGATTCTCATTCATAAAGGGTAAATGTGTAATAACATGCAAAGCCAAGCTTTCAGTATATAACACTAACAATCTCCCACTTATACTTAAAGCTTTCGCTTTTACAGTATAGTCCTATCAATCCGTTATTCTAAAAGACCTATGTCGATCCTATCGCCATGCATCCTCTGAT